CGCACTAACCCACCAACAGAGATGGAGGAGGGGCGGAGCTGGGGCCAGAGAGGGTTAGGGTCTTAGGGGGCTCCAGCTGCCGGCAGCAGGCGGAGGAGGAGCAGGCAAGGTGAGGGATGACAGGGGGAACAGAGGGGGACTAAATTGGTGCCCTCTCCGTAGCATGGTGCTGGGGGGCAACTGCCCCCCCCCACCACGCCACTGTTGCTGGGTCCATCACATGCCTCTTCTTGACAAGCTAAGGATCCAGTGCTGTGTAGAGCAGAACTCCCTTCTTTCTAAGCCCACTGCATTTCAGTTTCACCATGTCCCCTTCTCCTCCCTGCCACACTCTTAGCTGACTCCTGCTGGTAGGCAGGCAGGCAGAGACAAGGCATTGGCAAGGTTTGGGGCCAGGCACAATCTCCAATGAGCACTCAAGACAACACTGCCGTGTTCTGCACAGTAGATCCCTCCCCAAGGGGTATGTGGCTTTTGGAGCATGGCCATGGGTAGCTCTCAGCTTCTAGTGAGAACTGCATGCTGTGTCCTGTGGCCTGGGCAGGATTTGAGCCATAAACAGAACCAGCTGGACAGCCCAAAAATGGCCTCTGCCACCTGCTACCATTCCCACTGGGAAAGCACAGCTGTGTTCTTATCCTCCTGGGAACAGGATGGGATTGGTTGTTCTGTGCGTGGGCATTCATGTGTGGAGAAGGGTGTTCACGGATGCTCAGAACTACGTGCTCATTTCACTATTGTCATTCCCTTATCCGAGAGTAATCATACCACCATATGACTCAGTAAACATACTAATGCATATGCTCAGCCACACAACCCTCCTCCTCTCCATAGTCACCTTGAGGTCGTTGCAGTTGTCCTGGATGGGAGCTAGAGGCATGTGGATCGTTATTCATATCTACATGCCTCTAGCTTTCATCCAGGACACATCACGCAATCCATTGTCTACAGCCAAGCTATAGATACAACCACAACTGCTCCAATCCCTCAGACAGAGACAAATACCTATAGATCTTTATCAAGCATTCTTAAAACTTACATGCCCACCTGGGGAAGTGAATAAACAGATTGACAGAGCCAGATGAGTACCCAGAAGTCACCTGCTTCAGGACAGGCCCAACAAGGAAAATAACAGAACATCACTGGACATCACCTTTAGCCTCCAGCTAAAACCCCTCCAGTGCATCATTGACAATCTACAACCAATCCTGGAAAACGATTCCTCACTCTCACAAACTTTGCCAGACAGGTGAATCCTCACTGACAAACAGCCCCCCACCTTAAGCAAATACTTACCAGCAGCCACATAACACACCACAGAAACACTTACGTAGGAACCTAATCCTGCAAGAAACCCCATTGCCAACTCTGTCCACATATCTATACAAGCTACCAGGGCCAGGTTTAGGAAGTGCGGGGCCCAATGTGAACAGTTTTGGCGGGGCCCCACCACACACACACACACAAAACAAACACACCCCCCCAGCGCCTGTGAAACAGGCAGACAGAAAAGGTTCTGCTACAGCCAGAGCATTGTCCAAACTTTTTTGAGAGCTGTATGGTGTAGTGGTTGGAATGCAGGATTCAGACACATTTGAGGTTTTTTCCTGGTTCTTCCACTGACTTGCTGTATGGCTTTTCTCAAATAAATGTACCTTTCTCCTACCACACAGATTTGGTGAGGATTAATTTGTTGCTGTTTGTATAGCACTTTGAAAATGCCAGTGCATTGTCTAATAAATGCTAAGTATTTTCGTCTTAACTGTACCTGTGAACCAATTGAGGGCCTTCATCCTGCAAAAGATTCTATGAAGTTTGACCCTGTTTCTATGCATAACCTCGTCAACTTTTGTGGGGCTTTGTGCAGGTTTGGAGTAGGAGGGTTCACCCACGTGGAACCACCTCTTGGATTTGGGCCAACATTTGTCACTTCTCAGGGAGCTGCTCCACCAGCTAAAATAAAACACCTCTGACTTTACAAAGAATGTGCCTCTGTGTGTTTTGTAACAATGTGAATAATTTGTTTGATTTTCCTGCTAAATTTATAAAGACTTACTTTAGATAAAATACATTTTTTACAATCAGAAATATGTCTTAAAGGTCCAATATTCTGTCGCAGAAAGTCAGATTATAACTTAGCTTGTTTTGGAGGGGTTGTCTCA